GTGTGTGTGTGTGTGTGTGTGTGTGTGTGTGTATGTGTGTATTATACACGAGGACTGTGTGCCTTTTTGCATGAAAAATTATAAAAGGAGGAACGTGTACTGATACCGGTTCTATCCTCCGTCCCCGTATTTTCACGGAATTTGATTTCTACTCAATATTTTATTTTCAGTTATGGCCTATTCATTGAAATATTCATGCGCTGCACTCAGGACGAATTCGATAATCACTTGGGAATATAATCATTTAAATAATTAAATATTAACGCATTGATGGATGACATGATTATTACATCGTGAGAGGAGAGAATCGTTTCTCGTTCGCGATTTCACGTCCAATTCATCCCAGGGGCAGCGCATCTTACGACATGTATATGCACCCTGTATTATTCATACGTTTATTATTCATGTGTATAGATTTATATATATATATATATATAAATATCGTGTATTTGTCTCGCGATGCGCGTAATCGTCGATGATCGTGTATTTTCTGACCTGTGGTGTTGTTGTTGTTGTTGTTTTTGCTTTTGCCTCACCCTGCACGGGGGCGAAATATACTCTACCACCCGCCACCAACCACCAACCGCCACACCTGTGCTACTATCGTCTCGTGTTGTGGGGCCCTATCTACGAACGCGCGTACACACCCCCTTCGTACGAACGAATATCGCAAATATCGCGCGACAAAAAAAAAACGTGCCTCGACCACCCTCCACTTCCGGTTGTGTTACGGATATACCGCCAACACCGCTTCTCCACCCCTTTCGAGCGCCTCGCAGGTGGCCACTTGGTACAGGGTACGTCTTCACTATTACTAATAGCATGCAACCACGCCCTCCGTTCCTCGCCGATCGATCGTTTTCACTCCCCCTTTTGTATTTGTCATTTTGCCCCGATTTGCATGGTGAAATGAGAGAATCCCGCGCGACGATTTAAAAGGGAATGATACCTTTTTCACGATATATTTATTATTATTCAGAAACAATGTAGCTAGCCGATCTAACTTACGACATATATTTCCCTATAAATTATTGGTTTCCTTAAGATATTATATCGTATTTCTTTACAAATGACGCTGTAGCTTGTCACACATACGTGTAACGTCGAGTTATTAACTTTTGATTTAGTGAATTTGCAGAGAAAGCGCTGTCACGTCGCGCATTTGTTATACAATCCGGTTATGGTAGTAGAGAGTTACATAAAGTGATTATTTTTATTCATTTGTTAACAAGCTACGGTTGTTACATAGCGACAGTTAATTTTCCTGCCTGCTTTTTTTGTATTTGTTAAATTATTTGGAGATTGACGAAGCGACTTGTTTCGTTTAGAGTCAAGACGCTATGAGAAAGGTATATTTTGTGTAGAATTCAAGGTTTCATATTTTTCTTATGTCATTCCTTGTGTCTGTGCAAATTCCATTTTTTATAATACAGAAGGGGGAGATCAGGCGGCATAGTTTTAGGTTGTTCATATGGTATACTCTCGCGAAATGACGACCAGCATGCTTGTACAATAAGTAATTTGTCAAGGCAGTTTAGCAACATGATCCTTAACTGTTGGTTTCTGCACGATAATAGTTGATAGCGCGATTGTTGTTGTGACGTATTAAACGCGATGTGAATAATCGTAATAGATGATAAACTGTGAGAAGATCAAACTTTGAATTTGCATTAAATGTAAATTTTTATTTATTACACTCACACACACACACACACACACACACACACACACACACACACAC